CTAAATTTCATTGCAGGGATATCCTATACTCAGCAAGCTAAGTAGCCTACTATTGATGTTAAGCTAGGGGAAACTTTCTGTTCCCTTGACACTGATACCTTATGTGTAAAGATGCAATTTAGCTACCTTATCTTCCATTACTGCTACACCTTTCAGAGATTCAATATCTACCTATCCCCAATACCTTCAGCTGGAGACAAAGGAATCATACTTTTCTGTTGGCACAATGGGCAAATACAAGCATACTTTGCCCATAACATCTCTGCTCCTTCTTTTGTGTAGCCAAAGCCTATCTAGAAAACCAACCCAATGTCAAGGTTTAGCCTTGACTTTCTGATCCATTGTAGAACTCTCCATTTTTGAATCCACGTCTCTTCCTTCTTTCATCCTCTCAGCCTGAATTCACTCACTTCCTCTTTGATGACTCCTTCTCAATATAGAAAAAGCATTGGACATTTTCTGGCTAGAGGTCTAAGATCTTGAATTTCATTTATGATGATGCTTTCTTTGTGTACCATGGCTTAACCCTTCTCTAACCTCACCCTTGAAACCCAGTTCTATCTTCCATGGGCTTCTATACAACTTGACTGGCAGCCTTCAGAGCTCCATTTCAAACTGCTGGAGCATGTTTATTGCTGGGCTTGCCAGAAGCTTGGCCTCATTATCATTGGGACCATGACAGTTATCTCAGCTCATCCTCACATGAGAGGTAGATTGGGGGTTGTGACAGCATTACAAATTGAACGTTTCTACTCTGAAAATCTCAAATCCAAAATATTACAAACTGAAATTTTGTGACACAGTGCCATGAGTGGAAAATTTCACACTTGACTTCATGTCTAAATACAGGCACACTAAAAAATATTATATTATTACCTCAGGTTATGTGTATAAGAGAGCCTGAGAAAGTTTGTAGAAAGTAGCTACTTTTAATAACATTTTCCATAAGCATTAGAAGCTCCCTCATGTGAGGTATATAAGAAACAAATGAATTTTATGTTTCGACTTGGGTCTTATTTTTAAGATATATCATTATATATGAAAATATTCTAAAATTTGAAAAAAATGAAATCCAAAACACTTGTAGGCCCAAGTATTTCAGATAAGGAATACTCAAACTGTACATTCACTTTAAAACTAATGGAGGCTCAGAGAGGCTTTCATATTTGTCCAAAATCACACACAAGTGAAACCTAGGCTTGAACCCAGGACTTCTGACTAAAACTTTTTTTTCTTATAACTGTCTCTGAGAACAAGTAAGATACCAATGTTTGGTCTTTTATGAAACTGTAAATTTCTTGAGGATGGAGACTGTCTTTTTGACTGTAAATTCATTCTTTCCCAAATATCCAATAAAGAGCCCACCTAGCAAAGGCTTTACACAAAATGAGTATTTTTGATAAACAAGAACTCTGTGGAAAGCAAACACAAACAGCAGAGTGAAAATACAAAACCACAGCTGTGAAAGAAGTACAAACAATAACAACACTTACAGTTGATAGGCTTTCTAAGAACAGCTTTTCAAGAAAGTATGCATTGGAGTGATTGAAACTGGCCATACAGCAAAGTCTAATGTTTGCTTTCTCACCCAGAAAGTCCAAAGCAGCTATGCCTACAAGTGAGTGCCTGAGGAAGAGCGCAGAACGCAATAAGAAAAAAGTGGGGAAACAGTGAGACACTGATAACAGGCACAGCATTTCAGGAGAGGAGAAAGAGGAACAAAGCCAATCTGATGGTTTCTGAAGCCCCAGCCCCTTGGCCAGAGTTTCCCCTGTTGCAGGGGAAATGGTGAGCAGGAGCCCATCTGTTTAACCTCTCACCTGGGCCTTTGTCCTTAGAGAGGAATCCAACTACCATGGATGAGCAGCTCAGTGAGGAGCACTCCCTGAAAAACTTGGGGGCCCTCGAGTTCAGAAAGGGAACTTGCCCATTCCTTCCCCCATTCCTCAAGGCAGGGATTGTTGCAGGGAGAGCCATCTGGAGGGAGAAGTCACTCACAAGAAGTCCTTGCCTATCCTCTTCCCAGGGTTCCCACAGACATTCCTGCTTCCAGGAATGGGTCCAGCAAGACCATGGTGGCCCCAGAGCCCAAGCCCACACAGCACTCTGCAGTGCGGCAGATGGCAGGGGCAGGGCAGATGTGCTAGAGACCCCCTTAGACTCTAGAAATACGGAGGTCCCCCCATAAGAATTGGGTACCATCCTATTCCTCACTACAACCTCTCCCCTGACTACTTGAAAAATTGTGGGTCACAGCTGTTTTCCTGTATACCCACCGAACCTGCCCACTGACCCCAGACAGATCTCACAGTGGGGCTGGAGGGCATATTATGGAGTGAATCAGTATGCTCAACGGTGTGCACCTCTGAGTGGGTGAAGTGTACTGACACTCTTAGCTCACTCCGAGCAGTGAATCAGTTGGTTGACTTTAGCACAGTGAAAGCCTAGGACTCTGAACACACTCATCAGCTCCAACATCCCCTCCCGCCATTAACAGCAGCCAGAGGCACTCCACAATGTCATCTTGGATGTCACTCTGGACTCAAGCCTGACAAACAGAGGCTGGCGTATGTGATCTTCTCCCCAGCCAGGTACAGCCATCCTTTAGTCTCAAGAGATTTGGGCTTCTTGTGGTGACAGCGTAAAGGAGTGGGAGTGGGATGAGTTCATTCTCAGCCTTTACCTTTCAAAGTATCTTTTCATTCCCTAGTGAGGCAATAATTTTAAGACTTTCTCAGGGGTAAAAGGAATTTCTAGGTTCCCCATGACTCTTTTTATGATAGAAAAACTTGGAGAACTGTGCATTGTTTTGCTATAAGCCAGAAGGAAGAAAACTTCAGATACGACAATAAGGTAAGACATACTGGACGGCGCCGCCGTAGCTCAATAGGCTAATCCTCCGCCTGCTGCACTGGCACCCCGGGTTCTAGTCCTGGTCGGGGCGCCAGATTCAGTCCTGGTTGCCCCTCTTCCAGTCCAGCTCTCTGCTGTGGCCCGGGAGTGCAGCAGAGGATGGCCCAAGTGCGCTGGCCATAGCGCGCCGGCCGCAGCAGCCATTGGGGGGTGAACCAACAGAAAAGGAAAACCTTTCTCTCTGTCTTTCTCTCTCTCTCACTGTCCACTCTGCCTGTCAAAAAACAATTAAAAAAAAAAAAAAGACATACCCACATACAGAATTAGTAGAAAAGATTCTGGGTTGGGAGGAAAAAGATTCTTAAAAAGGAAACACAGAAAGGTATAATGTAGAACGGAAGTGGAAGGGGAGCATATAGAAACAAAAGATTTATAGCATAAGCCTCTGTTGTCTCTCTCCCAAACCTCTACCCCAAAAGCAAACCACCAAGCCGAGCTGGTTTCTATAAGGAAAGGTGATACCTGGGTTGCAAATATAAGCAAACACTCCCTCCCAGTATTGTAAGCCTGAAAAGGAGAGCATCTATAACTTCATGTAGTCTTAGCCCTGCTATAAAAAATTAGGATTTTGTCACAGAAACTTCCTGAGTGACAAATGAGTATTCATGGGTGTAGTGTCCTACTCTCTCTGAAAGATGTAGGAAAACCTGCAGGCTCTTAAAGGAGCACCACATTCAACACAACATGGAAAAGACTGCATAAATAGCTTGGAATAGTGCGACTGATTCCCAAAAGGTTGCTCCAGAAGTTTGCAAAGTATCTTCCAAGAAGATGAAGAGATGCAGAGAGGAAGGGAGAGGCAGTAGAGGCTCAGGGACAGAAAAGAAACTTTCCGTGCAAGGAGAAAAGGCAGGAGGTGAGGGGATCTACAATCAGTAGCATGTGGCACCAGTTCCCTATCAACAGATTCAGTGGGGACATATCTGGTGTACATGTGGCAAAGCCCCTCAACAAGAAGCTATCATGGTCCTTTGGATCTATGTGTACAGATCTGAAACCCAGTTTTCATCTCCTGCAGGCTATGTAAACTTCTCCATACACCAAGGTGCTCAAAGAAACTGGAGAACTTAAAGAAATTGAAGTAGAAAACACCTAATTCCTCTAAATTGAAAAATTTTGTTTTGTATTGTTTTCTTTTGCTAATCAGTGGGATGTGGTTTCTTGGATAAGAATAAATCAATATTCAAAATAAATAATCAGGCCGGCGCCGCGGCTCAATAGGCTAATCTTCCGCCTTGCGGCGCCGGCACACCGGGTTCTAGTCAAGGTTGGGGCGCCAGTTCTGTCCCAGTTGTGCCTCTTCCAGTCCAGCCCTCTGCTGTGGCCCGGGAGTGCAGTGGAGGATGGCCCAAGTGCTTGGGCCCTGCACCCGCATGGGAGACCAGGAGAAGCACGTGACTCCTGGCTTCGGATCAGCGCAGTGCGCCGGCTGCAGCAGCCATTGGAGGGTGAACCAATGGCAAATGGAAGACCTTTCTCTCTCTCTCTCTCTCTCACTGTCCACTCTGCCTGTCAAAAAAATAAAAATAAATAAAAACAAAATAAATAATCAAAAACCTCCTGACTCTGGCTCTAAACTCTAACTGCTGCCAATGTAGACCCTTGGAGGCAGCAGGATGGCTCAAGTAATTAGGTTTCTGCCACCCACATGGAAGACCTGAATTGTTACTACCTGAATTGTTACTCTCGCAGGCCAGAGCCTCCTGCAGATGGTCTCTGTCTTGATAGCAAAGTAGGGAGCGGATTGATTGTGGAAACAGTGATGTCTCGCCCAAGAGATGGCGAAACGGTGCCGGGAGTGCTGAAGCTAGTGGAGATGACCGCAACGTGAACAACAGCATCTGCTAGAGCCGGCTACAGGGCAGGGATGTCTGACCCTGGAGGAACTGGAAAAGGTTTGGGGGAGGTCTGTGGATGACCCTCGCTCAGGACCATGTTTCCCGGGGGGCTTTGGGGTTGGCGTCCTCGAGGCCTCTGAAGCCGCCCGGGCACGTTCATTTCTACCGGGTTCGCAACTTCTCAGAGCAGGCTTCCGTAACCAGAGTTTGGTAAATCACCCAACCCCGCGAGCCCGCCGCGCCTCGGCGAGACGAGTCTCCGCGCTGCAGGAATGAAAGGCACTTCTCCTACGTCGTTTGCCCAGCGCTCGACCTTGGCTTTTTATTTCTTTATTTTTTTTTCCTGTTTGAGAACTGCAGAGTGTGGAGAGGTCCCGCCCTTCCGCGCCCGGGGCGCCCCGCCCGCCCACCGGCCCAGTCCCTGCTGCTTTCCGGACGGCGGTGGAGGCCCTGGCGGCGGCGGCGGCGGCGGCCCACGGTGCCCATGGCGCTGCCAGCCTGGCTGCAGCCCAGGTAGGGCGCTCGACCGCGGCTGGAGGGCCAGGTGCCGGGAGGGAGGGGCCGCGGGGGCGGGGGCTCCCCTCGACGGCGGGGGCTCCCCTAGAACAACAGCTCGGCCTCACCCAAACCTGCCCCCACATCCCTGACAGCTCGCCATCGGGTATTGGCAAGTTTAACTCTCTGGACAGCCCTAGGAAGAAGGTTCTATTATTTCCCTGTTTCACAGATGAGGAAATGGGAAGGAATGCGCTTCCTCCTTCCCCTCACCGAGAGCCTGTCCATGACTGTTTCAGACGCAGTGTTGCAGGCTGATTTATGGATCGGCCTGCTTTAGGAATGCGTATCACACGTGTAGTGGCCGGGGAAGCAGATTCAGAGGTGTAGGAATCTGGGGATGGGCTTGTTTCAAGGACGGGCCACGGAATTCCCATGGGGGATTTCCTCTTCCCCGTTCGTTCAGCAGTTCGCGTCATCTGTGGGATGCCCCCATAACATTTTCCAGCTGCTTGGCATCGCCTTCCCAGCTTATTTGCTTCTTTTCTCAGAGGCGTCAGACCTAGGAGAAAACCCTGTCTGCCCGGACGGGGCCACTCCCACCATGCTGCTGAACCTGCAGGGAATATACCGCAAACAATACTCTTCCTAACTCCCTCAAGCTCTGTATCTGTGATCTTCGCTTAGTCATCTTCCCAGCAACCCACAACACGTTTTTAGCCCAGCTTGACTTCCTTTTTTTGGCCTGAGTAACTCAACTGCTTTCTATGTGTGTCTGATAGGAAAGATGGCCCTTGCAGAATGCAAAGACACGCAAGGGCAGGAACAACAAGCATGCATTCAAAAGTCAGCCCAATTGTGATTTATCCATTTGGTGTTTGCCACCCTCGCTACTCTTCTCTCCCCTCTTCTAACATAAACTACCTACCTCTGCGTTTCTGAACTTAGCAGACTAAACTGCTGGAACACACATTAACGTCATCAACCCTACTGAACCCTTTTTTCTTTACAAAGAAACATTCGGAGCTATCCTCTCTGTGATTGGTTTTCTCTCCTGGTGAGAAACAAGGTTAGCACTTTATCAAAGGTGAAAGATTTTGATAAAGAACTGTATTTGGTTCTAAGAAAATTCCGTAAATAAGGGTACTTACTTCAAAAAGTTAATGGGGTCAGCGCCACGGCTCACTAGGCTAATCCCCCTCCTGCACCGCTGGCACCTTAGGTTCTAGTCCCCGTCAGAGCCCCGGATTCTGCCCCAGTTGCTCCTCTTCCAGTCCAGCTCTCTGCTGTGGCCCGGGAGTGCAGTGGAAGATGGCCCAAGTCCCTGGGCCCTGCACCCGCATGGGAGACCAGGATAAGCACCTGGCTCCTGGCTTCGGATCAGCGCGGTGCGCCGGCAGCAGCGGCCATTGTGGGGTGAATCAACGGAAAAGGAAGACCTTTCTCTCTCTTTCTCTTACTGTCCACTTTGCCTGTAAAAAAAAAAAAAAAAAAGTTAGTGGACAAGTGGAATCCAGTTTGTTTTGGTGCCACTTTTAAATTTATTTTTTAATTTTAATTTTTAATTAGTTTTTAGCAGATTCAATGTGATTTGTGCTTTCAATACAATTCTGAGAACATAGTACTATTCTCTCCTGCCCTCTCCCTCTCTCCATTCCACCCTCCTTCTTTCTCCCCTTTTTGTTTTTAGTTTTTGAGATAACATTTTAAATGTACATTATAGTAGAAAGGCTTAATACTTCACTGAATAAGAAGTTTAACAAGTAAAAAGCAAAAAAGACCTAGTTTAGTGGGAATATCAACAATGGCTATAAACAATAATTGAATGGAAAAATGACCAATTCACTCATATACAGCAAACTTTAAAGTAATCACAGATCTTTATAGTAGCATAACATTTTTATCCATTGGTTTGACAAAGGTATAAAACAAAGTTTCACAAAACTATATTTGCAGCCATACTGAAACACACAGGCATTTCTTCTTTGTTTGTTTTTTTAATCTTTGCATAGTCCATGAACCTGAAGATCCTGCATCCTCACTCATGGGTATCTTCAAAATCTGATGTATTGGAGCTGGATCCGGTGCCATAGTTGATGTGCTGCTTGGGGTGCCCGGACCCCATATTCCAGTGCCTGGGTTCAAGTCCCAGCTCTGCCCTCCATTTTAGCTTCCTGCTGATGGCACCCTGGGAGGCAGAATGTGATGGCTCAAGTAGTTAAATCTCTGCTCCCTTTATGGAAGACTTGGGCTGAGTTCTGGACTCTTCACTTCATTTATCCTGGCCCAGCTCTTGCTGTTGGAATGTTTGGGGCAAGAACTAGGGGGTTGAAGATCTTTCTTTCTTTTAAATACTAATTTAAAAGAAACCCAAGTCCAGCCGGCGCCGCGGCTCACTAGGCTAATCCTCCACCTAGTGGCGCCGGCACACCCGGTTCTAGTCCCGGTTGGGGCGCCGGATTCTGTCCCGGTTGCCCCTCTTCCAGGCCAGCTCTCTGCTGTGGCAGGGAGTGCAGTGGAGGATGGCCCAGGTGCTTGGGCCCTGCACCCCATGGGAGACCAGGAAAAGCACCTGGCTCCTGGCTCCTGCCATCGGATCAGCGCAGTGCACCGGCCGCAGCGCGCCGGCCGCGGCAGCCATTGGAGGGTGAACCAACGGCAAAAGGAAAACCTTTCTCTCTGTCTCTCTCTCTCTCACTGTCCACTCTGCCTGTCAAAAAATAAAAATAAAAAATAAAAAAAAAAGAAGCCCAAGTCCAGTGTTTTAACAAAAATTCGAGAAAGCACTAGCCAATAGGTGTAGCAACCAAGCTCTAGATCCGTAGTATTTCATACATGGCATCATGAATGCCTTTTTATAAAACTCTGAAATCTCATTTCTTTTCCTCATTTTCATTTTCTTGTAAAGCTATGAGCTCAGCAACTTCTTTAACAAACTTATCTCCATCTTATTTATCCTTGAGATAAACTAGATTCTATGTGGTCACTTTTAGGTGGGAATTGCTTTATAATCTCAAATATAGGCTATAAATATTTCCTCTTTGGCTATGAAGCTTTCTTGCTCAAGTTTTCTTTTTGGAAATTTATTGCAGTTGTGAAGTGCTTCATTTGATTGATCATATTCTTAGTAATTTTATGGTTTATTAAGAGATTTTTCACATGTATAATGAAAAGAAAATAATCGCAATTTTATTTCAAAGTGTTGCATTATTTGAGTCATGATCTCATTTTTACTTGCTATATTTGTATTTTTAATCTTCTGGATACAGATTCAATGGTTGACACTTTTTATGCTATTGGACTTGTAATGCAACTTTGCCAATCCATTTCTGTCCTGGAGTTACTGCACATATATGTTGGCATTGAATCAAGCCATCTTTTCCCAAGGTTTTTGCAGGTAGGTTTTAGTCACATCATCAACATTATTATAGAATCTGTCTCATATTTATGTTTGTCCTGTTTATAGCCTCTCTTGAAAAGCCAGTGATAAGGAGAATTAATCCCATGGAAGAATTACAGTATTCCGAAACACTGCACGGTTAAAATACCCAATTGGAAACATTCAGGGCAGTATGCTTATTGATCTGTGCAGCTCTGTATTGATCTTATCCTGAGAGGAGATTTTGTGGCCACATCCACCCTCACTATGTCACTTCCTGGGAGAGTGTAAGGCAAGGGAAAAACACAACTGGGATCATAGCAACCATAACCTCCAGGCTGTTTTAGGGGAAAGGACCCACAAACCTTGAGAAAGATGTTTTTAAAACAATAAAGAAAAAGGTTCAATTCATCCCTATCTAAAGACTAGAATTTCTTATTCATTCCACTACTCTTACTAAGTACAAGTGGAAAAGGGAGATCATTTATGTTTATTTAGTGTTATGTCAAAGTGTTGACTTTGAGATCACACTCACCTGGATTCAAATCCCAGTTCCACCTCTTACTCATTGTGTGATTTTAAGCAAGTCATTTAATCATTTTTAATTTCATTTTGTCATGTGATGTGAAAATAACATGTGACTTACAGAGTAACAGAATTTGAATGGGATAAATTCTTGGCATTTATCCAGGAATATGACAGTAGCTATAGCTATCATTTTCGCCTGTACCATGCCTATAGACCTAGATAGCCAGGTTCTGTTCAATAGCAGGTTGAAAGAAGATTGGAAATTTACTGGTGGAGACTCACTGTAGAAAATTAATGCTGGATTAAGGTACGAAAATTCAAAATGTGGTATTTTCCACAAGGAAGGAGAAATAAAGCTAGGTGACAACATGGCATGTGTTTAAAATCTATAGGAACGGCCGGCGCCATGGCTCACTAGGCTAATCCTCCGCCTTGCGGCGCCGGCACACGGGGTTCTAGGCCCGGTCGGGGCGCCGGATTCTGTCCCGGTTGCCCCTCTTCCAGGCCAGCTCTCTGCTGTGGCCAGGGAGTGCAGTGGAGGATGGCCCAAGTGCTTGGGCCCTGCACCCTATGGGAGACCAGGAGAAGGACTTGGCTCCTGCCATCAGATCAGTGCGGTGCGCTGGCCGCAGCGCGCCGGCCGCGGCAGCCATTGGAGGGTGAACCAACGGCAAAGGAAGACCTTTCTCTCCGTCTCTCTCACTGTCCACTCTGCCTGTCAAAAAATTAAAAATAAATAAAAATTAAAAAATAAAAAAAATCTGTAGGAACAGGAATAGTGTCTATATGAGTATAATCTTAGGTATCCTCAAAATAAATTTGAAAAATTGGTGACTAACCTTAACAAATTTGCATTATAAAAATTATTAAAATGTCATAACTTTACTGCATTGCCAGAACCTAACAAAGATCTTTGAATGTAAATGTGTACCTTACATTTTATTGAATAAAGTAATAGCATACATTCCTGAGTTAAAAGTTATTTAAAATACCATGAAAGTATAAGACTATAGAGAATAATATAATCCTAAGGAGTCTATTAAAAACTCACTACTACAGGTTTATGGGATTTTTTAAATTGTACTTACTAAATGAAAATAAGGAAACAGTATGCATTAAGATAAGGACATTTTACGTGTTGAAATATCAAATGTAAAATAAAAACAAGAACAATAGTATATAATACAGTAGTCTGTTGACCAGCTGAAACCTGGATGGAATTCCCATAAGCAAATTTCCTTACAGGGTAAGAAAGGATACACATCTGACCAGAAGCAGCGTAGAATTTGCAAACAAGGTTTATTGGTATTTCTGATTTGACAGGTCTGCTGAACTTTGAAACAACCAAAATCTATATAGTACAAGCATCCCTTAATGCTAATTTTGGAGAACTGAATTAACAGCCCAGGGTAAATAAAGGTGTATTGTATCATATGGAATTATTTTGTTTGGAGTAAGGTCAATTTCATATAAAGTCAAAGTCAATTTTATTTTGTTATACATTTTTAAAAGTTTTTTTTTTACTACTAACAGTAAAACACCAGTATTTTCAAAATAAAGAGTAGTATTGTTTTAGTTATTGTCATTGTAGGGAATGTTCCCAGTGAAAATAGGTTATATTGTAAGAAAGGACAGTGAATGAGCACTTGGATATGCCAGGGAAATATGCATGTACCTTATGCTTTACAAAATTATCTGGACTTCCTTAATAACAGAAATAATTATATACATTAGAAATCTGGTTTCTTGGAGTTCTGTAAATTCCAAAACTTTTAAGTATTAGTTTCATCACTGCTAATTGAAACTCTACTGGCTATAGAGACATATGTATATGGCCTCTGCAATCAAAGAACCAAATCCTGGGTTGGTAATTTAAAAATAATTGTAAATACACATGGACTTTCTTTATTCAACGTTGAGTTTGCAAAGTCTACTATTCATAGTGCTCAAATAATTTTGAAGTTTTAGTCCTTGGAGGGATAACATATCAGTGATCATTGCATTAAGAAAGACAATTACAATTCTCATCCAGGGCTGATTATTAATAATTTTTATTGTGTTTTCTCCTCTTATTTCTTCTTTTCTAAAGATTATTTATTTATTTATTTATTTGAAATTCAGAGTTACAGAGAAAGAGGGAGAGACCGAGAGCGAGCTCTTCCATCTGCAGGTTCATCCCCCAGGTGGCCATAAAAGGCCAGGCCGAAGCCAGAAGCCAGGAGCTTCAGCTGAGTCTCTCACGTGGATGCAGAGCCCCAGGCATTTCAGCCATTTCTCCCAGCTTTTCTCAGTCTGTTGGCTGGGAGTTGGATTGGAAGTGGAGCAGACGGGACACTAACCTGTGCCCATGATATATGGGAGTAGCAAGCAACAAATTGACTCGCTATGCCACAATGCCTGCCCATCTTTTAATCTCTTTGAGACTTTGTCTGCTATCTAATTTTTTATTCACTTATCCTTTCCATGCTTCTCAGAATGGAAATGAAGGTAAAGCTTCAAGATCATTCCTTTATTATCATTCTGCAGACAATTAGGATTCCCTCATTATGAGATGATTCTGAGACTGCTGCTTTAAAATAATGAACTAAGAGTGTCAGATTGTGTAATCATTCATGGATTTCCTGTTTCACCATTTTTTAAATGAAGAAACTATAGTTGAGAGCGTGGTTGAGTTACTTCTATGCTAACCACAGCTGACGGCATACAGAAAAAATGCTGTCCAGCTGCATTCAAAGAGGCCTAAACCATGTGTACGAAATTGTGATGCTATTTTGGTACTGCCTTCGAGAGATTGCTAAGCCACAACTAAATTCTGATTATGGGACTAGTCTTCCAATGTGACAAGAAAAATAATTCTGGAGCTGATGTTCTGGCACAGCAGGTAAAACTGCCGCTTGGGACATAGTATCCCATATGTGAGCGCTGGCTTAAGTTTGGATCCTGCGCTTCCAAGCCAACTGCCTGCTAATGCACCTGCAAAAGCAGTGGAAGATGGTCCAAGTACTTGAGCCTCTGCCACCTACTTGGGGGATCCAGAGTTCTGGGCTCCTGGTATCAGCCTGGGCCAGGCCAGCCATTGTGGCCTCTTGGAACGTGAACCAGCAGATGGAACATCTCTTTCTGTCTCTGTTTCTCCCTCTCACTCTCTCTGTCACTCTGCCTTTCACATAAATAAATATTTTTTCAAAAACAATAAACAGTTCCAATTAGCAGTCAGCACTAACTCAGCAGTTAATATCAGATATTTCAAGTAGTGTTTGTATGTATAAAGAGGGTATGTCTTTTTCCTGTGCTTTGTTCTGAGTGTTTTTTTAGATGTGTCCCAAGAATATCTTTGACACTTAGGGAAAAGCTATTATGAATTTCTAAAATTATACACAACTGCAAAAGGAAAAAAATATCTGATTAACTATGAGGTTGCTTAGAAAACTTCATTGTAAAATAAAAAGGTAAGTTTACTTTGACACAAAAATGTTTAAAATCCATGTGTAGTTAATTCATAATATGCATTTTCTGTAAACTTTTTGAAGATCCCCTCATGAAAGACAGTAATCACTTAACATATGTTTGTATGGGAATATATATACTTGTATGGGAAGAGGGCAAAACAATAATATAAATAGCTATTTATAGATTTCTACTTTTGGAAATAATTACATGCCAATTAAAATTATATAAGGAAATATAGTGAACTTTGTTATCTTTAAAATAGGAAAGTAAAAAAAAAATACTGCTAACACTGAAGTAGTGATTTTTTTAAAGATTTTTTTTTAACTTTTATTTAATGAATATAAATTTCCAAAATACAGCTTATGGATTACAATGGCTTCCCCCCCATAATGTCCCTCCCACCCACAACCCTCCCCTTTCCCACTCCCTCTCCCCTTCCATTCACATCAAGATTCATTTTCGTTTCTCTTTATATACAGAAGATCAGTTTAGCATACGTTAAGTAAAGATTTCAACAGTGTGCTCCCAACAAAAACATAAAGTGAAAAATACTGGTTGAAAACTATTTCTGAGCCTTAAACCCAATGTACAGCACACTAAGGACAAAGATCCTACATGAGGAGTAAGTGCACAGTGACTCCTGTTGTTGATTTAACAAATTGACACTCTTGTTTATGGCCTCAGTAATCACCCTAGGCTCTTGTCATGAGCTGCCAAGGCTATGGAAGCCCCCTGAGTTCACCGACTCTGATCATATTTAGACAAGGCCATGGTCAAAGTGGAAGTTCTTTCCTCCCTTCAGAGAAAGGTACCTCCTTCTTTGATGACCCGTTCTTTCCACTGGGATCTCACTCACGGAGATCTTTCATTTAGTTTTTTTTTTTTTTTTTCCAGAGTGTCTTGGCTTTCAGATAATTTGTCAGCTAGATTGACATTGTATGTATATGGGGCAGTTTTCACATTCCCACAGTATGTGCAGATGCACTTTGATTTACAATGGTGTTTCCCCCAATAAGCCCATTGTAGTTGAAAATATCTTAAATGTAAGTACATTTAACACATCTAACCTACAAAACACCATACGTTAATGACACAGTACATGGAGAAGTAGTGATTGTTAACCCTCATGAGCATATGGCTGACTGGGACCTGCAGCTCCTTGCTGCTGCCCAGCATCTCAAGAAGGCACTGTATTGCATGCACCAGTCCAGTGAGGAACAAAAATCAAAATTCAAGGCACACTTTACTGAATGTGTATTGCTTTAACACCACTTTAATATATCACTATCACCCATCAGGGACCATCTGCATGCATGTTATGCTCTGTTTTTTTTGACATATTGATTGCTGATTTCAATGCAACTGGGATTTCACCACTAGCATGCCATAGATCCTCAAGTGATGATTTTCAACAGGATGAATTTCATCAGGCAGCTCCTCTGTCTTTCTCTTTTAGGAGATTCCTTGCTTTGTACTCATCAGGTAAGGAGCAGCCTAACATTGACAGTTTGTAACTCTGGAAACCAAGAGGAGACTTAGGATATATGTTTCCAGGTCTGTCATTGGTTTGGGGAAGTCACTTAAATTTTGAGTTCTCAAATTCTTTAATTCAAATTTTAAAAAAAATAGTGACATTGGGCTAGTTTTAGAATGTCTTATCTGGAGGAGACCCTATAGATCATTTTATCAAGAAGTATCTCATTTTTTTCAATAATTAGTCATGTAATCAGAAATCTATGCTGTATGCATGCTTTGTGTGTATGTAGCCCCTGAGATTTTTTTTTCTTTTAGCAAAAACTGGAAGGTTTTCCTAATTACCAGGCATTGATCAGATTAAGATGCCTAAGTACTTGTTTTCTGCTAAGATCTTGGATCCAAAGGCCATTAGTGTCATGACAACAAGGTTGTCTCATTTGGTAGTTATATTGCAGTTCAGTATAATTCATCATGTATAGGGTGGCTATTGTGCATAGCAAGTTAAGCCACTGCTTGGGATGCCTGCATCCCATAGTCGAGTGCCTAGTTTTAATCCCACCTCTGCTTCCCATCCAGCTTCTTGCTACTTAACCTGGGATCCAGCAGATAATAGCTCATATACTTGAGTCCCTATTCTCTATATAAGAGACTCAGATGGAGTATCTGGTTCTTAGTTTTGGCCTGGCCCAGCCCTGGCAGTAGTGGGAATTTGGGGAGTAAACCACTAAATGGAAGCTCACTTTCTCTTTCTTTGTGTCTGTCTCTGCCTTTAAAATAAAAATGAACATTTAAAAATATATAGTTAATTATATAATTAAATAAAGAACATAGGACATTATATTATAAATTCTGACTACAGAAAAACAGCCCTGTAGGTAAATCTCACAAATTGAGATTTGAATCATACTGAATCATATGATCTGAATCAAATCATAAGGTTTGAATCATATCTGATTTCCCTTGGCTACACAGAGACCCTTGTGACTCAGAAACATACTGAAAAGTATATCCATGTGGATTTCTGATCATGGGGCCCACTCTTGGCAAATAATGGATTTCTCTATACTAGATGATTTCTAGGACTAATAGATTATGATTCTAAGTTATAGGTTATCCCAGTCTTTTCTCCTTGATCTACTTTAAAAGTAAAGAGGGCTATTTAAAAATAGCTCTATTCCCCACTAATATACTCCTTCAATGCCAAGTATATTTTTCTTTGCCCGCTGAGAGCAAAGTAGCCTGTTCTATTAAACACACACAAAAATGCATGATATTTTAATGTAAGAAAACACTATATTGAGATTGGAAAAGAGGAATATACTTTTTTTAGTCTAATATTTGGAGCTAAGCCAAAAATGTGTGACTTCTCAATGATTTGTAAATGCCTCCTGACTTAGAATATATGAAGAGTGTGCAAGAATTTAATCAAAAAGATATATTATGAAAAAACTATGCATGGATTTCAAATGTTTTTGTGCCAAAATAAACCTATCTTTCAATTCCATTTGTCCCAACTATTTGAAGTACTCTTGTGTGTGCGTGTGTGTGTGTGTTGTGTGTGCATGTGTGCATACATGTGTGTATATATATTTCAAAAACATATTGAATTCTTTTCAATTTCTTCTAGTGTATGAGGGTTAGGATTATATCCTTCTACGTGCCCACTTCTTCCCTTCAAAAAAGCTGCAATGACTTCTCTATTGGATGAAATTGAAATTTCTTTGCCTGTCATTCAAAACCCTGCATAACCCAGCCCCAAATATGTCTTCAGTTTTATCTACTGTTACTGCCTTCTCTGCACTCTCCATTCTAGCCCTTCATTTGGTTCTCATCACTCCCTAAGGTACCCTGCATTTTCAAACATCTAACTTCTATTCTGCTGCCTTTGCCTAATGCCTCTTCTTATATGGAGTCTACTTGACAAACACCTAATGTTCAAGATCCAAGTGAAATGTTGCTTGTCCTCAAAGATCCAAGTGAAATGTTGCTTGTCTTCATAAATTTCTCTGCCTTATTTCTCTAGGTAGAAGGTATCTCTCTCTGTCAACTGTGCTCCCATACCTAGCACACACTGTGCTAAAGTTAATTGCTCCACATTCTCCCACTATTGCTGCCTATTCTGCAACAAGAACCATGTTTTCATTACAGCATCAAATACATAGTAAATACTCAGTAAAAGATTGCCAAACAGAATAGAAACATGTGTTCATGTGGCAAGATGAATGGAAATATCCTGATTCAGATAAAACACATGTTATCTTTTCACTCATTATATATCATTTGGAGAGTAGAAAAAAATAGAGGAAATGAAATTCACCTATAACCCTAATCTCTCAGAAAAAGTCATGGTTAACACTTTAGTATACATATTTTCAGGTAAGTCATATTTTTACAAAGACATCTGGTTTTTAAAATTAGAAAATTACCCACATGGCATAATAGGTTATCCTAATTCTTGACTTTTCTGTTTCTTTCTTAGCTCACAGAGAGAATCATCATTCTTTTTGTTGTGATCACCAGTCAAGAAGAAGTTCAAGAGAAGTATGTGGTGTGTGTTTTGTTCATCTTTTGGAATCTATTGGATATGGTTAGGTAAGAAGGCAAAATAATATTTTAAAACAAGGCCACATTGCTTTCTGTAGTGAAGCCAGCAAGAGCCGCTTACAATTGCATTCTCCGAATAAGAGAAAAAACATACAACTCCTTTTCAAACAATTTTATCTTGATGCAGAAATGTGTTTTTAGTGTTTTCCATAATGGGCATATCAAAGATAATGAAAACCTGTGGTGGTATTACAAGAGCAAATCAGTGCATTTAGGTTTCCACTAGAAGGGTTGGCTTAACATCAACTTGGAATAAACCTCACAGCTGTTTGCTAATGAAAGGCATTCCTTATGCTTGCTCTAGTACATGTGAATTTGATAAGTACAGCAGAACTTCTATTATATGCCAGAATTTACAATGTTGGTTTCTGTATATTCAAGAACATTACAAATTTAGGGCTTCATCTCTCTGGGAAAACATGCAGTTCCACATACATTTTTGTATACAGTTTGTAAGTCCTTAAGCAGAGCCCCCGGAACCCTTGCTCTAGATAGCCTTTCGTTTCCTTCTAATTTTAAAGAATTGAGTGGGATGTGCTTAGTCTTCTATCAGCAGTGATGTAAAACAGCACGCTTTGCTCTGGAAGTCCTTCTCACTCTTTGGGGAAGTGGCCTATCTGCAACTTCAGCATTCACAAGTGAGAACTTCTCCTTTCACTTGAAGGACATGTATATGATTAGGTTACAAGAGTCCTAGTTTTCTGGTTGCAGTTATATACATTCCATATGAATTATACTGTCAATAACTTAGCTAGATTAAAAATGTCTACATAATATATTGAGTCCCACATCAGAAAGATCATTCACCTGGGCCAAGTGGGATTTATCCCTGATATGCAGGGACGGTTCAAAAATTGCAAATCAATAAATGTGATACATCACATTTACAAACTGAAGAACAAAAACCATATGTTATCTCAAAGATGCAGAGAAAGCATTTGACAAAACACTATATCCTTTCATGATAAAAACCTTAAGAAAACTGGGTACAGAACAAACATTACTCAACACAATCAAGGCAATTTATGACAAACCCATGGCCAGCATCCTATTGAATGGGGAAAAAGCTAGAAGCATTACCCCTAAGATCCGGAACCAGACAAGGATGCCTGCTCTCACCATTGCTATTTAATATAGTCCTGGAAGTTTTAGCCAGGGCCATTAGGCAAGAAAAAGAAATCAAAGGAATACAAATTAGAAAGGAGGAAGTCAAACTATCCCTATTTGCAGATGACATGATTCTATATATAGGGGATCCCAAAGACTACACTGAGAGACTATTGGCAGAATATAAAATGAACACACAAAAATCAATAGCCTTTGTATATGCAGACAATGCCATGGCTTAGAAGGAACTTTTAAGATCAATCCCATTCATAGTAGCTACAAAAGAATTAAATACCTTGAAATAAATTTATCCAAGGATGTCAAAGAGCTCTACAAAGAAAATTACAAAACACTAAGAAAGAAATAGAAGAAGTAATTTAAAAATGGAAAAATCTTCATTGATCGGAAGAATCAATATCATCAAAATGTCCATAATACCAAAAGCAGTTTACAGATTCAATGTGATCCCAATCAAAATACGAATGACATTTTTTGCAGATTTAGAAAAAATGCTAACATTCATATGGAACACAAGAGAACCCCAATAGCTAAAGCGATCTTATATAACAAAAACAAGGCTGGAGGCATCACAATACCTGATTTCAAGACAAACTACAGGGCAGTTATAATCAAAATAGCCTGGTACTGGCACAGAAACAGACGTATAGACCAATGGAATAGAACAGAAACTGCAGAAATCAATCTTTGCATCTACAACCAACTTATCTTTCACATAGGAGTTAAAATCAATCCTTGGAGCAAGGACAGTCTATTCAACAAATGGTGCTGCGAAAACTGGATCTCCACATGCAGAAGTATAAACTAGACTCATACCTCACACCTTACACAAAAAAATCCACTCAAAATGAATCAAAGACCTAAATCTATGACCTGCTACCACCAAATTATTAGGAAACATTAGGGAAACCCTGCAAGACACTGGCATAGGCAAAGATTTCATGGAAAAGACCTCAGAAGCACAAGCAATCAAAGACAGAATTGACAAATGGTATTACATCAAGCTGAAGAGCTTCTGCACTGCAAAAGAAATATTCAGCAAAGTGAACAGACAATGGCCAGAATGGGAGAAAATATTTGCAAACTACACAACTGATAAATGGTTAACATCTAGAATCTATAAAGAGTTCAAGAAATTCAACAACAGGGGCCTGTGCTGCGGTGCAGCAGGTTAAAGCCCCCACCTGCAGTGCTGGCATCCCATATGGGCACTGGTTCAAGTCCTGCCTGCTCTACTTCTGATCCAGCTCCCTGCTAATGTGCCTGGGAAAGCAGCAGAGGATGGCCAAAATCCTTAGGCCCCTGCACCCACATGAGACCCAAAAGCAGTTCCTGGTTCCTAGCTTTGGATCAGCTTAGCTCTGGCCATTGTAGCCAATTGGGGAGTGAACTAAGGAATGGAAGACTTCTCTCTCTCTCTCTTTTTTTTTTTTTTTTAACTTTTATTTAATGAATATACGTTTCCAAAGTACGAATAATGGATTACTATGGCTTCCCCCCCAATACCGTCCCACCCACATACCTCCCCTTTCCCACTCCCTCTCCCTTTCCATTCACATCAAGATTCATTTTCGATTATCTTAATATACAGAAGATCAGCTTAGTATACATTAAGTAAGGATTTCAACAGTTTGCTCCCACACAGAAACATAAAGTGAAAAATAATAGATGATTTTTTTTAATGATGATGAAATCAGATCAGACCTATTGTCATGTTTAATCCCAGTGAGAGTCAAGTTGGGAGTTGATAGTTTCTTTTCTTTTCTTTTCTTTTCTTTTTTTTTTTTTTTTTACAGAGGATCAGTTTAGTATGCATTAAGTAAAGATTTCAACAGTTTGCACCCCCATAGAAACACAAAGTGAAATATATTATTTGAGTACTCATTATAGCATTAAATCTCAATGCACAGCACATTAAGGACAGAGATCCTACATGAGGAGTAAGTGCACAGTGACTCCTGTTGTTGACTTTACCAATTGACACTCCTGTCTATGGCATCAGTAATCTCCCTATGCTCCAGTCATGAGTTTCCAAGGCTATGGAAGCCCCTTGAGTTCTCCGACTCTTATCTTGTTTAGACAAGGTCATAGTCAAGTAGGCAGTGAAAGAGAGAGAGAGACAGAGAGAAAGGTCTTCTTTCCATTGGTTCACTCCCCAAATGGCCACCATGAAGCCAGGAGCCAGGTGCTTCCTCCTGGTCTCCCATTGGGTGCAGGGACCCAAGCACTTGGGCCATCCTCGACTGCCTTCCCGGGCCACAGCAAAGAGCTGGACTGGAAGAGGAGCAACCAGGACTAGTACCCGGTGCCCCAACCGAGACTAGAACCCGGGGTGCCAGCACTGCAGGCGGAGGATTAGCCAAGTGAGCCATGGCACCAGCCAACCTCTCTCTCTCTCTAACTCTTTCAGATAAATAAAGATAAATCTTTTTAAAAAACATGAAATTCAACAACAACAAAGTAATCCAGTTAAGAAATGGGCAAAAGACTTGAACAGGCACTTTTCATGAAAGGAAATTCAAATGGCCAACAGACAAATGAAAAAAATGCTCAGGATCACTAGCCATCAAGGAAATGCAAATCAATGTCACAATGAGGTTTCACCTCACTCCAGTTAGAATGGCTCTCATACAGAAATCAACAAACAACAAATGCTGGCAAGGATGTGGGGGAAAAGGTATCCTAATCCACTGTTGGTGGGAATGTAAACTGGTGCAGCCACTGTGGAAGATAGTATGGAGATACTTCAGAAATCTGAATATAGACCTACTATATGATCCAGCATTCCCTCTCCTGGGAATTTACCCAAACCAAAAGAGAGTGGGAAAGGGGAGGGTTGTGGGTGGGAGGGACGGTATGGAGGGGAAGCCATTGTAATCCATAAGTCATACTTTGGAAATTTATATTCATTAAATAAAAGTTAAAAAAAATCAGCATCTGAAATAGTTTCTGTACCCCCATGTTCATTGCAGCACAATTCACAATAGCTAAGATGTGGAATCAACCCAGATGTCCATCAGCTGTTGACTGGATAAAGAAATTATGGTGCATATATATACTATGGAGTACTACTCAGCCATTAAAAAAAAAAAAAAAAAACCACAAAATCCTGCCTTTTGCAACAAGATGGGCACAACTGGAAACCACTATACCTAATAAATAAGCCAGTCTCAAAAACATAGATATCATATGTTTTCCCTGATCCGAGGTAACTAATAAAGTACCTAAAGTGTATTGTATTATAGTGAAAAGGACATTTTGAGATTTGATGATTGTTTACAGCCCTTGTCTTTTACATTGAAGAATGCTATTTTCTTCTTCATACTCTTTGTTGAACTCTTCTACTTAGTGTAGGGTTAACTATATGATCATTAGGTAAACTGAATTAGATCTTTGTAAAAATTAAGAGTGGAAATATTCCTAAATCTATATATGCAAAATGTATGAAATTTGTAAAAGCTAAATAAAATTTTAAAAAATTGAAAAAAAAATCCTACCAAAAAATTCTTAAGTCCCTCTCAGAAATGGTAAAAAAAAAGATTCTAAATCTTCATATTTTCTGGATTGACTGTAATTATAGAATTAAACAAATGAACACAAAAATATTCTGATTTTGAGAAATATTAAGCAAAAACAAAAAATACATTGAGTCCAAAGTTAAATAGAATGAAACATTTTGATGAATTAAAATGATTTTTCATATATATACCTCAGTAGTCATAAGTTATTGCTCATTTTTTAAATAGCTTTATAGACTTGGGGCAGATTTTGTGACATTTTCTAGCTCATGACTTGCTATTTATGAGACTTTGGAGCCTCAGATGGGACTGTAGCTGTCCATATATTGTTGTTGAGTAGTCCTCATTCTTTTAGTATTGATTCAGTCACAGATACGCTTAATAGACCCACTACAAAACAACTTCCTCAGTGAACGTGGTAGTGTGCTGTCATGGGAAGACTTTTGGACACAGTGGCAGGAGATCACAGGATGAAACCCACGTCCACTACCTACTTACTAACTGATCTTGGGCAATTACTTAACCTTTTAAAAAACATATTTATTGTCGCCAATCAGGGAGAACATATGATATTGCGACAACTAACTGAGCACCAAAGGGGAAACTTGTTGAAGTGAAATGGACACTATGAGAAACAGTGACTTGATCAGTTCTTGTCCTGATGGTTGATGTACAATGCAATACTTTATCCATTTTAGTATTTTTTTTTTGTTCTAGTACCATTGGTTGAACTCTGTAATTAACACACAATTATTCTTAGGTGTTTAAATTTTAACTGAAAAGTGATCCCTGTTAGGAATTTGGAAAACATTATGCTGAGTGAAATAAGCCAATCCCAAAGGGACAAATACCACTTGTTCTCCTTGATAGGTGACAACTAACTGAGCACCAAAAAGGAAACCTGTTAAAGTGAAATGAACACTATGAGAAACGGTGACTTGATCAGCCCTCGCCCTGACTGTTGATGAGCAACTTAATATGTTATCCCTCTTAGTATTTTTTTTTGTTTGTTCTACTTAATACTTTTGGTTGAATACTGTAATCAATACACAATTCTTCTTAAGTGCTGAAACTTAACTGAAAAGTGATCACTGTTAAATATAAGAGTGGGAATAAGAGAGGGAAGAGATGTGCAAGTCGGGACATGCTCAAGCTGACTTACCTCAAACGGTAGAGTTAGAAACATACCAGGGGATTCCAATGCAATCCCATCAAGGTGGCATGTACCAATGCCATCTCACTAGTCCCAGTGATCAATTTCTGTTCACAATTGATCATAATGATAGGACTAAGAACCAAAGGAATCACATAAACAAGAATATTGTCTGCAAATACTAGCTGATAGAATCAAAAAGGGAGAGAATGATCCAACATGGGAAGTGAGATACACAGCAGACCCATAGAATGGCAGATGTCCTAAACAGCACTCTGGCCTCAGAATCAGCCCTTAAGGCATGTGGATCCAGCTGAAAAGCCCATGAGAGTATCTCACGCATGGAAAGCCAAGACACTCTGGAAAAAAAAAAAAAAACTAAATGAAAGATCTCCACGAGTGAGATCCCAGTGGAAAGAACGGGTCATCAAAGAAGGAGGTACCTTTCTCTGAAGGGAGGAGAGAACTTCCACTTTGACCATGGCCTTGTCTAAATATGATCAGAGTCGGTGAACTCAGGGGGCTTCCATAGCCTTGGCAGCTCATGACAAGAGCCTAGGGTGATTACTGAGGCCATAAACAAGAGTGTCAATTTGTTAAATCAACAACAGGAGTCACTGTGCACTTACTCCTCATGTGGGATCTCTGTCCTTAATGTGCTGTACATTGAGATTTAATGCTATAACTAGTACTCAACCAGTATTTTTCACTTTATGTTTCTGTGTGGGAGCAAACTGTTGAAATCTTTACTTAATGTATGCTGAACTGATCTTCTGTATATAAAGAGAATCGAAAATGAATCTTGATGTGAATGGAAGGGGAGAGGGAGTGGGAAAGGGGAGGGTTGTGGGTGGGAGGGACGTTATGGGGGGGGAAGCCATTGTAATCCATAAGCTGTATTTTGGAAATTTATATTCATTAAATAAAAGTTAAAAAAATTTATTGAGATATTACTTATGTGCCTAAAATTCACCCCATTAAAACATAAAATTCATGGTTTTTAGTATAATCAAAGAGATGTGCAAATGCTTTCCGTAATTTAAGAACATTTTCATCTCCCTCCCCCAAAAAGAAACAACATACAATCCTCTCTCCCTCCTTAACCCCACCCTTGGAAACCAATCATAATATCTCTATGGATTTGTCAATCTTGACATTTTCATATCAATTGTATCATCCAGTATATGGCCTTTTTTTTGATTGCTTCTTTACTTAGCATTATGTTTTTATGGTTTATCCAATGTAGTATGTATGAGAACTATACTGTGTTTTGTGGCTGAAGAACATGCCATTATATTGATATACCACTTTCCATGTATCCATTTATCAGTAGATGGACATTTGGGTTGTTTCCACCATTTGGCCATGAATAATACTACTATGAACATCCATGTACAAGTTCTTATGTGTGCATGTTTTGGTTTTCTATTCTTAGGAGTGAAATTCCTAGGCACCTCCACTTTTATAACTCTAGTTTTTCTCTCTTGTAAACTGAGGAAGAGTTACCTTCCCAACACACCCTAGAATGACTGTAAAAAGTAAAAATCAAGGAACTTCCTTTCTGATAAAGCATTTATGAAAAATCCATAGCTAACATGATGGTTACTAATGAAAGAATAATGATTTCCCCCTACGTTCAGAAACAAGACAAGGATATCCCTCTTATCAACATGGTTCTATTCAACATAGTACTGAAAAGCCTACGCATGGCAATTAAGAAAAAAATTATATACAAGGCATCCAGATTGGGAAGAAGTAAAACTATCTTCATTGGCAGATGACATGATCTTATATGTTAAAAGTAATAAGGAATCCACTAAAAATATTGGAACTAATAAATAAGTTTATTATAGCTGTAGAATATAATATAAATATATCAATATACCAATGTTATTTTAATAAAATGAACTATGCTAAAAATGAAATTAAGAAAATACAATTTGTAATAACATAAAAACCAAAAAAAAAGTATTTAAGAATAAATTCAACAAAAGATGTACAGAACTTGTGGCCAGTGCTGTGATACAGTAGATTAAGCCCCTGCCAGCAGCATCAGCATCCCATGTGGATGCCAGTTTGGATTCCAGCTTCTGCACTTGCCACCCAGCTCCCTGCTAGTGTGTCTGCGAGGGCAGCAGAAGATGGCCCAAGTGCTTGAGCCCCGGCACCCATGTGGGAGACCTGGATGAAGCCTCTGGCTTAAGACTTTGGCCTCTCCCAGCCCTGGCCTTTGTGGCCATTTGGGGAATGAACCAGCAGATGGAAGATTTCTCTCTCATTCTGCCTCTGCCTCTCTGTCTCTGTAACTGCCTTTCAAATAAATAAAACTTTTAAAACAATTTGTATTTTTATACTGAAAACTACCAAACATTAAGATCTAAATAAATGTAAATGATATCCCACACTGAAGACATAATTTTGTGTTTCTTTTAAAGATTTGTTTATTTTGAAAATACACAGACACACACACGGGGTGGGGGACGGTATTTCCACCCACTGGTTTATTTCCCAGATGGCTACAACAGTCCCAGCAGTGAGCCAGGCAAAAACCAGGAGCCAGGAGCTTCATCCGGGCATCCCATGTGGGTGGCAGTGGCCCAAGCGGTTGGGCCATTTTCTGCTGTTTTCTTTAGGTCATTAGCAGGGAGCTGGATTGGAGGTGGAGCAGCCAGGACTTGAACCTGCACCCATATGGGATGCCAGCATTGCAGGTGGTGACTTTACCTACTATGCCACAATGTCAGCCCCCCAAATACTGTTAAGATGCCAGTATTCCTCAAACTGACCTGGAGATTCAGTGAAATCCCTATTGGAACTCAGGTGGCTTCTTTGTAAATATTGAGAAATTTATCTTAAAACTCATATAGAGGGGCTGGTGCTGTGGTACAGCAGGTTAAAGCCCTGGCCTGCAGTGCCGACATCCCATATGGGCGCTGGTTCGAGTCCTGGCTGCTCCACTTCTGATATAGCTCTGTGCTATGGCCTGGGAAAGCAGTAGAAGATGGCCCAAGTGCTTGGACCCTTGCACCTGCATGGGAGACACGGAAGAAGCTCCTGGCTCCTGGGCTTCGGATCAGCTCAGCTCCTGCCGCTGCAGCCATTTGGAACCAATGGATGGAAGGACTCTCTCTCTCTCTCTTTCTCTCTCTCTCTCTCTCTCTCTCTCTCCCCCTTTCTCTGTAACTCTTTCAAATAAATCTTTTAAAAAAATCTCACATAGAAAATCAAGGAACTCAGAATAGTCAAAACAATCTTAAAAATGAACATAGTTGGGAGGAATCACACTTCCCAATTTCAAAACTTATCATAAAGCAAAAACAGTCATATTATAGTACTGGCATAAGGGTCAATCATGAAATGGAACTGATATTCCAGAAATAAACTCTCACATTTTCAGTCAATTAATTTTCAACAAGGATGCCTCAATGGGGAAAAGATAGTCTTTTTGACAAATGCTGCTGGCACACTGGATATCCACATGCAAAAGAATGAAGTTGGACCTCCACCTCACCTCATTTTTAAGAACTAAAAGTATAAAACCCTTAGTAGAAAATATGGGAGGTAATTTCTTATGACTTTAAATGTAGCAATGGAATCGTAGATATTACATGAAAGCAAAAACCACCTAACCTATTCAAAGAAACAGAAAGGTGTAGACTACTTCATCTGTTTTTTCTCAGTGGTAGGTTTAAAGGTATCTACTATTACCAAAGCCAGCTCTCGGTTATTTTTTTTAACTGAACACATAAGATGGCACAAAAATAGGGGGAATATAAATAAGGAATTGAAGTCACATTTTGGTTATTAAATTCATTCCTCAGATGTTTACAATTAAGTCTATCTTAAAACACCTGTGTGCTACATAAAATGGGTGTGGCTTTTAAATGAAATTGAAGTTACTAATCAAGGACTCTTGTAACTAATTTCTTGAGGGTTAACAGTTATATTTTTGCTGTTCAGCTCTATATTCCTGATCCTCTTCATCAGACAAGACTGACATGGTGCCTCCATTTTTTTAACCTATTACCTTGCCTAAATTTAATTAAATAAAGTATGTAATTAGCACATCTTCCAGTTTTGTTCCTGTGTTTATTATTTAGTAAGGTATTTTCCATTGCTGTTATTTCTCAGACATCAGCAGCAAATGAGACTTATGACTCTCCTTGTCTCCTTTTAGATACACTTACAGCATGCTATCAGTCATCGGAATGTCATATGCTTTCTTTACATGGCTCAGCCAAACACTATGGATGCCAATTTATCCTCTGTGTGTTCTTGCTGAAGGTAAGACAAGAGTGATTCTGTATTACTTACTGGCAAAAGCTACCTAGTTTTGATGATTAAGTTTTTTGTAATTACATTTTGATGGTGAGTTTGTTGGTGATAAAAATGCCATTTTTGCTAGTGCTTAGCTCACTCAGTGTATCTTTCCTGGCATATTACCCTTGATGCAAAGATGTAAAACATTAAGAAGCAAAGTTGGGTAAGGAAGCAGCTCTTCACATAGACAACATAATGGATAAGAACCAAGGCCAACTGGGTTCACGTCCTTAGCCTTAGTGGCTCCCTAGATGAGTTTTGGGTAACTCTTGAATCTCCCTGAGTCTTCTTCCTCATCATTTACATTTAGAGATCCTCCGAGGTTTTACTTTTAAGGCATGTAAGCAGTTCTTGCTGGCTAGATTACATTCCTTACTTTCCACCTCCATTCAACCCACCCTCTGCCAACAACTAGTTAAATTGTATCTTGAGATTAGTCATCACTTTTTTTTTTTAATTTAATGAATGCATTTTTACATAGATGCAACTTTAGGAATACAGTGGTTCTTTCCCTCATATCCCCCACCCTGCTCCCTTCCCACCTCCCATTTCCTCTCCCATCTCCTTCTTCATTGTGGATCATTTTTAGTATGACTTTATATATAGAGAACCATCCCTATGCTAATCATAGAGTTCAACAATTTGCCCCCATGCCCACACACAATCTATAGAGTACAGTTTGAGGAGAGAATTTGCAGTCACTTCTCATATTGCAATTCAATAGGGACAGAGGTCCTACCTGGGGAGCAAGTGCACATTGACTACTATTGTTCCTTTAACAATTAACACTTTTTTATGACGTCAGGGATTAATCGAGGCTCTAGTCGTGAGCTGCCAGGGCTATGGAGCCCTTTTGAGTCATCACTTTCTGAGGGAAGTTGTTCCTGAATTCAGCTAGGTTAATTTAGTCTAGTACAGCATCATGGGTATCTTTTTTATTGGTCCTATCACAGTTGTAATTAGACATTTGTATGATTCTTTGCTTAAATCAATTTATCTGATTAGACTCTAAATGCTGTGAGAGTACCGGGGTGTCTGTCTGGTTTTGCTTCCTCCCTTCCTCTATTATACATAATAATAAATAAATACTGAATGAACTACTGAATACATATGGACTAGGCTAATTATATAGTCCAAATATAAATCTAAAATTTTAAATCAAATAATTTAAGAAGCTTAAGGATATCTGAAGATCATATGCTTTCTTCTATAATGGATTTGGTGGATTGGTAGTGAACTCTTGAAAGATAAAAATGTTTGAAAACTAAAGACATAAAATAATTAAGAAAGCATTTTATAGTAACTAAAGGAAAACATAAGGAAACAGATATAACATGAGATGGTGACACTGGCAATACTTCTAAAGTATTTAAAACCCAGCACTAATTAAAACCACATGTTTTCTGTCTACTGATGGCTAAAGAAAATGATTTTAACTTATAGTAAATTATATTATACTTTTAAAAGCTTCTTTCAAAAGGAAGAATTTTTAAAGTTTGGAATAGACTATGCTAAGAGAATATGAAGAACAACCTTGAAAACATACACACACACACAGAGAAAGAGAGAGAGAGAAAGAGAAAGACTGCCCATTCTTTAAGAATGAAATCCTTTACACATTGGAGTATGTATTAAATATACTCTTTGTTATTTAATATGAAAATATTATAAAAATAAATGAAATGGGTGATATTGAGGAGACATCATACAAAGTATAAGTTAGATCAGGGCAATATATTTTTCCCCAAAGATTTATTTATTTATTTGAAAGTCAGAGTTACACACAGAGAGAAGAGGCAGAGAGGGGGGGGGGGAGAGAGAGAGAGAGAGGTCTTCCATCCACTTGTTCACTCCCCAATTGGCCACAACTGCCAGAGCTACGCCAATTTGAAGCCAGGAGCCAAGGGCTTTTAAATGAAATTGGTCCAGTTCTCCCACGTGGGTGCAGGGGCCCAAGGACTTGGACCATCTTCTACTGCTTTCCCTGGCCATAGCAGAGAGCTGGATTGGAAGTGGAGCAGCCAGGACTTGAACCAGCGCCCATATGGGATGTTGGCACTGCAGGTAGCGGCTTTACCCGCTTTGCCACAGCACCGGCTCCAAGCCTTCTCTTTTCTAGGAAAACCATGTTCTTACATTATTGCCATACAACTTATATTCTTTTATTATATACATGAAATTATTCTTGTAATTATACAGTAAAGTACTTACAGAAAAAAGTCTAGAAACATATGTGACAAAGTGTTAATAATGATTAATTCTGAGTGATGGGATATGGATGATTAAGACTTCATAGGTTTCTATATAATTCCAAAGCCCAAAGTATAAAAAAGTTAAGAAACCTACTTAACTTTTGATAACTCTTGCTTTATATGCTTTAGCAAGTATAATTTTCCATCTAAAGGTAAGGCAAGTAATTACACATAAATAGCGAAATTAACTAATTATATTGATCAAGTATATTCTAGAGTCTTAGGTGCAGTTCATGTTAATCTTAGATGGCACGTCTGGTATCAATTTAAGGTCCTGCACTGATGTTACTCATACCCCGGTCCTGTCTGACTCTAACACCTGTGAGATAATGACTTTTCTTCATTTCTCTCTTTTTAAAAACTAAAAAATTTTAGATTCACAGAAACTACAAAAGTTATACTTCATCTAACTTACCCAATTGATAAATCTTATATAACACTAGCATCATATCAATTAATTCCATGAAATGTTATCAAAAATCTATACCTAGGTTACAATTTCATAGAACCTCTTTCTCTTTTATCTGATATCAGCCTTCTCCCTCATAATAAGTAGACCAGCATTTCTCACAGAATTGCTTAGAATTTTTAAATACTATGGGGACTGGGGAGGAAGAAGATATTTCTAGGCCAGCTAAGTTGAGGAAATGTTGTAAGAAACCAGTTTTGTTATTGCAGAACTCAGAAATCCTACTAGGCTAATGTATATTGTGAAACTCTAAGAGGAAAGTATATGCAGCATTTTACAAATTTCTCTGTCACCCCTATTTGTAGCTTAGGGAACAGATATATGTTGAGTTCTACTTCAAGAAACAACTGTAAACTCTTTTTATGTAGGCATGATAAAGTATACTATGGACAAAAATTCAACAAGTCATACAGCTGTGACAGCCCTGCCAACTTAATCACTCAGTAAATTTCTATATCAAATTGTAGCTTTAGCAAAAGACTTCAGCCATCACCACAACCTGTTCAAAGCATCTTTCAGCTATGGAGACACACAACCCTGTAACAAGTTAAGGAAGGAAACCTTATGATGTGGTTTTTGTTGTTTTGTTTTAAACAGCATTTGCCATATATCAGTCTCTGCCTTACTTTGAATCACTTGGCACTTATTCCACCAAGCTGCCCTTTGACTTATCCATCTACTTCCCATATGTGCTAAAAATATATCTCATGATGCTCTTTATAGGTAAGTAGCTTTTCTGTTTTATTTTTGCATTCTTCCATGGCTTTGTGATTTGTGCTACCATCCACCAATAATAGGCAATTTGATAAACATAGAAGAGACCAAGGAGGAAGCCTGACACAATGAACTTGGTCTTGGTAATAAAGTAACTGAAAGTTATAATGCTTTATGCAGGACGTCATCAGATCAAAAATATCACTGTTTCACTGTATGAATAAGATATAACTGCATTGTGTATAAAATACAAAACTTTTGATCATGGCACAGTATCTACTAACAAAACCAGATGTCAAATTAAATAGTATTGTCTGTTTCTGATTTTTACATTTATATCTATTTTGTTTTCTGTTTTTTACTTGCTAATACTTTCTAGCAGGTGAAAGAGAGTAAGTGCTAAAGACTCAAGAAAAATGTATGGAATAAAACCTTAATTTAAAAAAATTTGATCAGTCAGCTCAATTGTTTTCCAGGATATTGAGAAAAATATTTCCATTTTTAAATTTTACTTTCCTTAGCTGTAACTTTTTTTAGATTTTAAAAAATTTATTAATTTTTCTAATATTTTTTCATGTTAATATTATATTAATACAAAGAGAACAGATTCAATATAGTTCATAAGTAGAATTTTTTTTTTTTTGACAGGCAGAGTAGACAGTGAGAGAGAGAGACAGAGAGAAAGGTCTTCCTTTTTCCATTGGTTCAACCCCCAATGGCCGCTGCAATGAGCGTGCTGCGGCCGGCGCACCACATTGATCCGAAGCCAGGTGCTTCTCCTGGTCTCCCATGTGGGTGCAGGGCCCAAGGACCTGGGGCCATCCTCCACTGTACTCCCAGGCCACAGCAGAGAGCTGGACTGGAAGAGGGGCAACGGGGACAGGACCGGCACCCCAACCGGGACTAGAACCCCTGTGTGCCGGCGCTGCAGGCAGAGGATTAGCCTATTGAGCCATGGCGCTGGCCTCATAGATACAATTCTAAGAATATAATGATATTCTTTTCCTTTCTCCCATTGTTTCCCTTTCTCTCTCTCTCTCTCTCTCCTTCTTTGTTCTTCCTTCCTTTCTTATTTTTTGAGATGACATTTTTTTAAAGATTTATTTATTTATTTGAAAGGTAGAGTTAGAGAGAGGCAGAAGCAGAGAAAAAGATATTCATCCACTGGTTCACTCCCCAAATGGCTGCAATGGCTGGGGCTGGGCTGATTGGAAGCCAGGAGCCAGGAGCTTCTTCTGGGTCCCCCTTGCTGGTGCAGAGGTCCAAGCACTTGGGCCATCCTCTGCTGCTTTCCCAGGTCATAGCAGAGAGCCAGATTGGAAGTGGAGCAGCCAAGACATGAACCGGCGCCCATATGGGATGCCGGCCCACTATGCCACAGTGCAGGCCCCCAAAATAACATATTTTTAATTAACATTACACTCAAGGACTTAATCTTCCACTAAATAAAGGATCAACATGTAAAAGGACCATAGTTTAACAGTAATATAGGCAAGGGATATAAACAATAATCAAATGGAAAGATGATCATTTTACCTAATCTTCACAAATCAACAAAACAAAGATTATATGGCAACATGTATCACAAAAACAGTATGTACAGAAGAAAGACAAATGTGAAACTGTAGAAGAGGAAGAGAGAACTACCCAAAAGAAAAGGGAAACAAATTCCTTGCAATGTAAGCACAAGGAGTTTGTTTTATTTCTCTTGCTGCATAAAATGTAGGTACCTCTTTCAGTATTTCTCCTTCTAATTGTATTTGAAAATCAGAGTTATTTCCAGAAAAATGGTTAATTAACCTTACTTACTTTGCCATTTCTTTCTCCACATTAGGTATGTATTTTACCTATAGTCATCTTTACTTAGAAAGAAGAGAAGTCCTCAGCATCTTTCCCGTGAAAAAGAAGAAAATGTGAAGAAGAGCATTCCAGTGTGCATGACAAAAGACAAGCTTGTGGATTCAGCTGCAGGAAATACAACACGGGAAAGTATTCTGGTGGAAAAATACCTACTATTGGACAAAAATTCATGACATGAAATAATTGCATTTATCCCTTAAACTATCTAGACATATCACAGCAATCAATGTTTCTTGCACATTGTATTTTCAAATATACCTTGCATTCCCTATATCACCAAAGCTGTGGATTTGATACAAGTTGCATTTATATTGTATGAAGTATGTTTTCCTGTAAGATTAATGAGAAAAAGGAAATTGACTGAAGTAAATTCAATTATATTGAGAAACTATACCTGATAATCTGAATTATTTCTTTTCAGTTCTGAGTTCCCAAACAGCAGCCAATCTATAGGAAAGCCATGTAAAATATACTCTAAAGTTTTCTAGAATAACATTTTATATACAGAAGTCCTTGTTGTCCCCAGAGCTACCCACCTTAAACATTACACACACTTAAAATATTGAGCAAACATCTCTCTAAACATATCTTAGTTCATGCTTCTATAAGAAAACACCAAAAATTGGGTGACTTATATGATAGCAAACCGATTTCTCACAGTTTGGAAGCCCGAGAAGTCCAAGAACGAGACGCCTATCACTTTCGTATCTGGTGAAATCCCTCTTTCTGATGTGAAGATGAATGCTTTTCTTGTTGTATCCTCACATGAGAGAGGCAGCAAGAGCGAGAGGAGAGATCTACCCACAAGCTAATTACTTCCCAAAAACAGCTACCTTCAGATACCACATTGAGGGTTAGGGATTAGCACAGAAACTTTAGGGAAACACGAACATTGAGTCCACAACACTTTGATAGAATACTTTAGTATCAGTTAAGTTATTCAGTTTTCATGCTAGAAGAGAGGACCCTGATGAAAACAAGAGAGATTTGGCAAAGATACAAAAAATGTCTCATACTGTACCTCATTTTTCTTCTTAACATTAGAACACATACATTCCTTACAGGGAAATAAATGTACCCAAATGTAGGTAATTCTTTAAAGGCAGGGAAAAAATAAGAACTAATAGTATTTTTATTATATATTACTGATTTATTATTATTAACTACTAGAATGTATTTCATCACTTAGATTTGAAAAATGTCCCTTTCTCTGAAGATCTAAAAAAAACTTGATTAACTAAGAATAATTTCTGTACCATCAGTAAATTACTTAATTTTTAAAAGGAATTTCAGACCTGTGCTGTGGCATAGTAGGTAAAGCCACTGTCTGCAGTACAAGCACCCCATTTGGGCTCAGGTTCGAGTTCCGGCTGCTCCACTTCCCATCCTCTGCTATGGCCTGGGAAAGCAGAAGACGGCCCAAGTGCTTGGGCCACTGCACACGCATGGGAGGCCTGAAAAAGCTCCTGGCTCCTGGCTCCTGGCTTTGGATTGGTGCAGCTCCAGCCGTTGTGGCCATCCCAGGGAGTGAACCAGCAGATGGAAGATCTATCTTTCTCTCTGCCTCTCTGTAACTCTGCCTTTCTAACAAATAAATAAATCTTAAAAAAAAGATTTGTAGAGATCTTATTATCAAGTAATGATATGATATTAAATGTGTTGAGACATAAGAATGTAATTTGTGAAAAATACGTAATCATTTCTACTAAATAAAATATTTGAAAATATTGATTATTTATAAAGTAACTTGATATCTTTATAAGTGCAATAATTTAGAATTTTTAAATAAAAATTTTAAAGTTACGTTTTTATTTTGCTTTTAAAATTGCTTATCTTCTAAAGCAAGAAACATTACCAAAAGTCAGCCTTAGTGTGCAAAGAGAACAGAATCCCTTTGCAGACTTTAGGTGACTTGGTCTACATTGAGCCCAGTAGACGTGGCTACTTATATTGTTGAATTATACAACTAGATTCACTAAAATGAAGAACAGAATTAAAGAAACTTCATTTTACTGGGATATTACAAGAACTTCAAATTTCATTATTAAGTATTACTTGGGTTTTTTTTTTTTTAAACTAGATTAACTTAGGAAACTGTCTACTTTTTTTTAAAAGAAAACCAAAAGAAACATAAGTGAATTAACAGTTATTGTAATTTCAAAGAAGCGATGAGGATGGGCAGTAATGTAAGATATTTGCATCGATTATTACAAACTAAGATGTATGATCTCCTTTGATAACAGAGTCACAGTTGTTAATAACCATTGTGGTTGGTTGCCAATGTTCTTGTTGAAGAAATACTAAAATTTCATTAGAGGTTAGTGAAAATGAAAATATGCAGCCAATTTGTCTTTCCACTCAAATTCATGTCTCCCAAGTTAAGAGATCCAGACAAAGAGAAGTTGAAACAGTAAAGAGCAATTGGATTACAAAGTTGAGTTCCTGGATGTTTTAACTATGTGTTCTTCAAATCTCTTTCATTTTGTAGTGTAGACAAAGGCTAACTTCTCAAATATAAGTAATATAGGTGAAATAGGGGCCATTAGATATTTTAAAAACTTAAGAACACTTTTTTACTCAATTGCCATTCATCATCTTAATCACTTCTAGGTGTGCAATTCAGTGGCATTAATTATGTTCATTTTATAGTGCAACCATCACCATCTTTATCTCCATAATTCCTTTCATCTTGTAAAATGGAAACTCTGCCAAAAGGCCGAGAAGTGATGCATCCGTTAACTATTAACTCTTCACACCTGCCTTGCCCCAGCCCCTGGCAACTACCATTCTACTTTCTGCCGCTATGATTTGTGACTACTCTACCTCATATAAATGGAATTATATAGTATTTGTCTTTTATGAATGGCTTATTTCACTTAACATACCTTCAGGGTTCATCCTTGTTGTAGTGGATGTAGAAATTTCCTTCCTTTCCAAGGCTGCCTAATAACAGAGGAATTACTTCTGTCAGTTTGCTATTTGTTTTCTATTGGTCTTACAGGTTTTCTGATCCCCTTTCCCTGCATGACTGTTTTCTTTTGTGTTGATTTTTTTTTCTGCAGTGAAATGTTTAAATAACTTTCTCATTTCTTTTGTTATCACAGCTATTTTCTTTGTGGTTACCATGGGGATTATCTTTAATATCCTAAAGCTAAGACATTCTAATTTGGATTTATACCAACTGAACTTCAATAACATACAAAATCTCTGCTCCTTTACATCTCCATCAGCTACTTTTTTCAGTTGTTCATGTCAGAAAACCACATCTTTATGTATTGTGTATCCAAAGCCATAAATTAATAATTTTTAAAAATTCATTAGTCTCTTAAATTATGTAGAAAACAGAAAGTGGAGTTACAAACTACTGTAATAATAACACTAGACTTTATTATAACTGCTGGCGTATTTCTTCTACAGCGATTTCATTTCTTCATATGCCTTGTGAGTTACTGTCTCATGTCTATTTCAAACTGCAGGAATCTCATTAGCATTTCCTGCAGGAGCAAATCTGATGGTATCATATCTAGGATGTTTTAATTTCTCCCTTACTTTTGAGGACAGTTTCACAAAATGTAAGATTCATGCTTAATAAGCTTTTTTTAAAATACTTTGAATAAATCAGCCTGCTGCCTTTTGGATGAGAAATCTATTGATAACCTTATTGAGGATCACTTGAATACAACAAATTGATTTTGTTTTTCCTTGCTTCCAGGATTCTCTCTTTGCTTTTTTTTTTTTTTTTAAGATTTTATCTATTTATTTAGAGTTAGAGAGAGAGGGAGAGACAGAGAGAAAGGTCCTCCATCCACTGGTTCACTCCCAAATGGCTGAAACAGCATGGGCTGAGCCAATCTGAAGCCAGGAGTCTCTTTGGGGTCTCCAAACCAGGTGCAGGGCCCAAGCACTTGGGCTATCCTCCACTGCTTTCCCAGGCCCCAGCAGAGAGCTGGATCAGAAAAGCAGCATGGACTGGTGCCCATATGGGATTTCGGCACTGTAGGCAAAGGCTTAGCCCACTACACCACAGTTGTTGAGTATCATGGATGTTTATATTCATCTGTCTCATCAAATTTGGGAGGTTTCTGGTCGTTTTCTTTCTTTTCCTAGGACCCCCATAATGTGTTTGTGGAATCTTCAAAAAGTCTATGCAAAATATGCACTATCTTTTAATTCTATTTTCCACTAAGATTTAGAAGCTGCCTGTATGTCAGCCTGCTTTGTTTCCCTCAGATCCCTTATACTCTGTTTCTATTTTTGCAATCTTTATTTTCTGCTGCTCAGACTCTTTAATGGTTTCCATTCTCTATCCTCATGTATGCTGATTCTTCTGGATGCTCAAATATGCCTTTGAAGAACTAACGTAGATTTTTTTTCATTCTGATTATTGTGTATTTTTTCAGCTCCAGAATATATTTAAAGAGGTTTTTTTCTTATTTATTTTTATTTATTTGTAAGGCAGACTAAGAGAGAGACAGAGAGACCAAGAAAGATCTTCCATCCACTGGTTCACTTCCCAAAGGCTGAAGCTAAGAACCTGGAACCTTACTTGGGCCTCCCATGTAGGCGGGAGGGACCCAAGTACTTCAGTCATCACCAACTGCCTACCAGGCACATTAGCAGGAGGTTGGATTGTAAGTAGAGGTACGACTCAAACCTGGGCACTTCAATAGAGGATGCAGTTGTCCCCAGTGGTGGTTTAACCCACTGTGCCACAATGCCCACCCCTTATATTTTAACCCAGTTTGCCACAATACCGCTTATATTTTTATTTCTAAAAATATTTTAATAACATGCAATATTTACATATTTTTATGGTATAGAGTACACTTTTAACAGATATACCAAGTGTAAACCAATCAAACTAAACCACTAGCCTTTTTATTTTCTTATCTTTTCTTGTGTTTGGAGCCTAAAAGCTTCTCTCTTCCATTTCCTTATACAGATTATAATACATGGTTGTAAATAATAGTCATCTCTCTCTGATATGGAATACTAGAACTTGTTAACTCTTCCTGACTTTGTTTGGTACCTATTATCCAACTTCCCTACATCCCCTCTCCACTCACCCTTCCCAAACTCTACCAATCACTATTATTAGTTCAGATCAACTCTTTTTTTTTTTTTTTTCACTTCCACATATGAGAAAGAACCTGTGGTATTTGTCTGTATGTGTCTGGTTTACTTAAAATAATGATCTTGGGCTTCATCCATTTTGCTGCAAATGTAAGGATTTCATTTTTTTTTTTTTTTGACAGGCAGAGTTAGTGAGAGAGAGACAGACAGACAGAAAGGTCTTCCCTCCGTTGGTTCACCCCCCAAATAGCTGCTACAGCTGGCACGCTGCACAGATTGGAAGCCAGGAGCCAGGTGCTTCCTCCTGGTCTCTCATGC